TATAAAACATCAGCCTAAGTACTGTCTTAAAAACTGCCTTTGCTTTCACAGTTGTAAAAGGTTTGTATTCCTTCCAATTCTTATTACCAGAGATCTTTGTTAATTGGCCTATAAAAGTTCTGACTAGTCTATTTATAGTTACAAACCTAAAAACTGCAAAAGGGTTATTGTAATATAACTTGTTCAAAAACATCTGAGACTGCACTCTAATTTAAATGTGCTCATCTTACGTATGTCCATCTGTCTGTTCAATGTTAAACCAGTTAAAACACCTGCAGCTGCTTCATTTAAAGAAAAAAAATTTTTAGCACAACAATTTTTCTCTCTTTTTTTGGTTCTTTTTGAGATTTCCATGGAAAACTATTTGTAAATGTTTTCAGGGTAGTCAAACTTATTTAAAACATTAACAAATGAAGACTGATAACCTCAAGGCTTACATAAGGTTTAAAAATGAAAGTTTGCCAGTATAAGAGTTATATATGATTGGGTTGCTACATATGATTCTGTGTGTCAATTTTCAGGTACATGTTCTATTTTAGTTGGTAAATAGATAAGTAGACAATTATGAAATAGCTCAAATATCTTTGTTCACAGGGTTAACAGTGAGTTAACAAGATCAAAATAAAGATGTCTTTAAAGTTTGTACCATATTTCCATCTGGCTTGTTAGCTAATTGAGATAACATTAAAGATTGGTTTTTGATTGTTTGTCTATAATAATTTAAGAGCTTTTCCTCGGTTAAAGCAAGTTTCAAGTGTCTAATTGTTATGATTTGGTTCTCATGAGTCATCTAAAGCAATTGTTAAGATTTATTTCAGTTGGCTATAATTAAAAGATTAAACTTTCTATATCTAAGATTTTCTTAACATGGTCTCAGTTAAACTTAAAGAACTAAAAATACTCTACTGGTAAAAGTTGTTTATGGTGGTAAATTTTTTACACTCAAATATGTGTCATTCCCTTACTTATGTTCCAGCTATCTGAGATGAAATGCACATGTCAATCCATGTCTGCATTGGACAGACACCCAAATGATGCAGATATATTCACAGGCTTGTGCTTGTATCATTGTTATATAATTGTGTTGTAATAGGCAAAGGAACCTAAACACTGTACAGTCCAGACAATGTCACGCTAATGATTAGAGATTAGAAATTAATAATCTTTAAAGTATATCTATAAACAAGTGCATGCTGCTTAAATATCACTTTGGTGACTGAAATGGTTAAAAGATAATAAATTTAGGTAAAGTTTCTTTATGTCATTTAATATCTTGTAATTAGATAACTGACTAAAAAGTTATTTTATACTGATAGACATTTAAATGTGTTTTAAAGATAATATTATGACTGTCATGCTGAAAACACTATGTGTGCTCTTGATTTCAAGTCTCCTCTGTGAAACCTTATAATTGCCTGAAGGGATTCACTTCTAAAACAACCATGATTGGTAAGAAATAACAGTCCTCTAGTTATACTTTATATTTCAAAGTACTTGCTATCCAGATGAGATTTTAACAGTTAAGCTCACTGCTCACATTACAATACTAATATAATCGATCTCTTTTGAGTGTTGAACAACTGAAGTTTGGACACCAGAACTAGAAAGATTACTAGGCTAAGAGGACAGCTGGTATTTTGGCCCCGGCCCTCCAAGGTCAACGAGGACCCAGGACATGAGGGAACATTTTCTATAGTTTCCTACAACTTTGGTGAGTCACCCAACCTCCCGAGGAGGGAGATTTCTGGACTCCAAAGGACAGGAATCAATGAACGTACAGTGTGCCAAAAAAGAGGGGCATTAAAGAGGAAAAGGCTCCCATGCTTTCACAGAAAGCAACATGGTTAAGCAAGACTGTGACTTATCCTGGTTGCTGACACTGACAGAGGAACTGAGCAGCTCTGCACATGGTTCCAAATGTAGTGCCTCAGAAGACTTACCTGATCTCAACAGACAGCAAGAGGTTAATTTCCATTAACACAGGTCTCACTTTAACTTGTTCTTAAACACCCAGCAAAAAAATATAGTCAAACAATGTATGAAAACAACACCACAATAATAAAAGGTAGATATAAAAAGGGTCTCCATTTACTGACCCTTTCTGGCAGTTTCTAGCTACACCAGTAGCTGACCACTTTTATGGTTCTGTGAATCAAAAAAAAAAAAAAATGGTGAAAGTTATAAAAGCTCAACAAGTGTCTCTAAATTCTTTAAATTCCTTAGCTAAAATTGTCCCTCAAAACTATCAAACTATCCATGTTCTTAGAGGTAAAACAAATGGGATTTATGACAAGAAATATCAGACTTTAGAGATAACCTCCATCAGTAGAGGGGTCTAACAGCCAACTGATTGCAATCACTGTTCCAGTTCTTTAGGATCAGTGTCTGGACATGGTTCTTTCCCCAACCTGCCTTTCCATTCTAGTGTTCATGCCTTGATTATACATGCTTTAATTTCTTAGAAAATTTGTTTGTTCTTGCCAAGGGATCATGCCAATAGAAGCAATGATAAATATGCCAGACTCCTTACCTGGATCCACTAGATCAACCTTGTAAAAGGAGTATATAACTGCTAAACTACAACATGAATTCTAGTCAAGGCCCACTAAATGAGACCTTTGGAAAAGGCCCCTGACTGCAGTGTCCTCAACACTGGCCCTCCTCGGCTTAAAGCAGCTATATAGAAACTACACCCACTCTCCACTAACCACAGTTAAGGATACCTTATCAGAGGAGGTAAGACTGTGGACAGTCGGGTTAGGTACAGATATTACAGACAGTTGGACTGGGCTGGGTCCTCAAGGGAGTTAGGGCAGAAGATAAGAATGCATCAGGGACTGGCTAGAGGGGCATCTGAAGAAGATTAAAGTCACAATGGCCAGATTTACATATTTTCCTATGGAATTTTGAAGTTATTCATACCAACATTTTGAGATTTCCCATATAAATAAAGCATTGCCTCATTAGGGGTGGGACATCCTCTCCCACCCACTAAGATTAAAACTAAAATTACTAAGACTAAGACTACTAAGAAAATTAAAGACAAGAGTAAGACTACGGATTATCAACCAAAATTAATGATGCCATCCATATGCCCTTGCTACTACAAGATCAATACTAGCTAAGTGGCTATATTTGTAATATTATTGGTTGATTGTAATTTGACCCATGTTGAACCCACTCCTCATGACCTTCCTCTATAAAACTTTCTCAGAGAAGTGAGGTCACTGGCCACCCAGTCAGGACCCCTCCTGCCTCTCAGGAGCTATTCCTATTCCTCAGTAAACTTTCCTACTCTTTAAAAGAAATGAAGACTATTTCCATTCATCTAATAAAGATTAATATATAAAACATATCAGGATTTCAAATAGGTTGATAATAGTTGATAACAGTAATAAGGGCACCCTTTCACAATGTTGATGACAATGTAAGCTACTATAACCACAATTAAAAAAAGAACTATCATATCCAGCAATCCCACTACTTGGTACATACGCAAAGGAAACAAAATCAATATGTTGAACAGATATCTACATATACACATTCAGTGTAGCATTATTCACAAAATCCAAGATATAGACTCAAGCTATGTGACCATCAGTGAACAAATGGATAAAGCAAATGTGGTATATACACACAATGGAATGCTATTCATTCTAACAGAGAGGGAAACCCTATTGTTTGCAACATGGATGAACCTGCGGGACATTAAGGTTAAGTGAAATAAGCCAGATACAATAAGACAAACGCTTTATGGCCTCACATGTAGAATCTAACTGAACTCAGAAACAGACAGCAGAACCGTGTCTACCTGGGGCTGGGGGTACACAGCAAAGGGAAAGAATTAGGGAGATGCTGGTCAGAGAATGCAAAATTTCAGTTAGACATGAGGAATGAGTCCAAGGGATCTATTAGGGTGATGACAGTTCATAAAAATGCACCGTCTACTTGAAAATTACTGAGAGTAGAGTCTAAGTTTCCTCAACACAAATAAGTCCCTGAAGTAATACAAATGTTAATGAATCTGATTTCCTCACTCTACAATATATACATATTTCAAAACATGTTGTATACCATAAATTTATACAATTTTCTAGTTACCAATAAAAATAAATTTTAAGAAAGACTATTTCATCCATAAATTCATTAAATTAGCAAGTAATAAGTTAGCATTAGATGAGCAAGAAGTTTTATTTAGGGCTGGGGGTTTAGCTCAGCGGCACAGCACCTGACCAGCAAGTGCAAGGTCATAAGTTCGATCCTCGTTGGAGGGGGGGGGACTAAAAAAAAAAAAAGAGAAGTTTTATTTAAATTTTGCTGCCATTTCACCCAAAGTATGGGTTTACTCCAAACTAGACTCTGACTCTGCATATCTAGTTATTTGAAGTTAAGATTCTCAGCTTCCTGCCCTAAGCATTGCAAACAAATGCTAAAAAGAGGAAAGGTCCTCATGGCAGGACAAGGACCAAGATACTTCAGCCATTGCTCACAAAGGAGGCGCAAGTTGGCAACTTTCCAGTATTCCCTGTGGATATAGAATGACTCAGCACAACTTCCTGCCATGAGGGGCTCTCCTTTAAGTGCCTTAATCTGCAGGATATCATATTGCAGGAAGGTATGCTCAGAGATACACAGACATGCACACAGGAATGCAAGTAGGCAGAACAAAAATAATTTACCATGCATAGGAATGATAACCTTTAAATTATTACATCTAAACTAAATTATTAACTAAATTATTTACTAAATTAACTAAATTATGTACATCTAGTGAAAGTCTAAAAGACATTAATGGCATTTTTTCAAATAGAGAAACTGAAATCTATTAAACACAGTATCCAAGACATTCATCCCCACAATAAAGTCAGTGCCCCCTGGCAGGTCCAAGATGCTGATGGCATCTAGTGAAATGCTTCAACACAAGAGGAATATTTACTTCAGTACTTGAGAAAACTCAGTATCAGATGGCCAGTTCAGTAGAATCAAAGAGATAGATGTACCTGTAGGTTTTCAATTTCTTCTTTGTGTTCCCTCTTCAAGTGTAAAATAGCAGCTTGGTATTCTGTAAGATCACAAAAGAAGCTAGTTACAAAGAAGCACAAAACAAGGTTTAAAATTCAAGAAAGCATCTCCTAGATCTCCGAAGTCTCCCACAATCAGCTAAATAAATAGATGCTATAAATGGACAGTGCTTGAGGAGAGATTCCAGAGGGTTAAAAAAAAAAAAGCTTGATTAAGGTGTTTCATACGAAGACTGGGTCAGCATTTGTCTTTAAGGAGGAGTTGAAATGTAGGCCCCACAGAGAACAAACACAGATGTGTTAAGAGCAGTAAATAAAAGAACATTTCCTAAGTGAGATAGGAGAAGTCTATTTTTAAGTCTGTTTTTTAATCTCTCTATTTTAATCTCCATTTGAAAGCAAGACTAAGTAACTACCCTGGGCCAATTTTAGTGTTCAGATCACCTTAGAAAGTTAAGACTATTTCTCATTTGAGTAAAATGTTGTAGAGTGAATTAAGTCTGAAATGATTAAAATAAATTTCTGATTCAATTTTCATTTGAGAATCATAATATTTATTTCAACAAGTCCCCAGTGTACAAAAGGACTCCTGCCAACCACCAAAACTACCAGCCAGCTCGGTTAGCACAAAGCATCCAAGATAACTTTCCAGAAGAGCTAAGCATGTGGTGTCCCAGAACTACACACACTGCATAGAACACAAAGCACAGGGCTCCAGGTACATGTCTTTTCTGGGATAAGCTGGTTTTACAAATGTGTTTATGGTTGTGAACATGAGTAGGAAAGAAGTCAGGCCTCATTTAAAGTAAGTAGAAGACAGGCTATTTCTCCAGGTGGATTTCACAAATCAGGCATGAAAGATGAGGTTTCAATTCAAAAGTAGATGAGAGAAACCTCTGGTAAACCCCCACAGAGAGAGGAGTATTGATCATTTTTCTTTTCTTTTTTTTTTGTTTTTTTTCCAGTACCAGGAATCGAACTCACGACCTTGCGCTTCCCAGGCAGGCGCTGTGTCGCTGAGCTAAATCCCCAGCCCCGAGTACTGATCATTTTGTGCTCTTGTGAAGATCATGTTCCACTGAGCTGTTAATCCATTAGCAAGTTCTGTGGGTTCTACATTCAAGCCACTTGTCCCTGTCTCCCCACTACTACCATTATGACCCAAGCCCCCACATCTCTCCCCTAGACGGCTATGGTACTTTCCAGTAGGGTGCCCAGCTGTCACTCTTACCAACACTAAAACTAAATTTCCTCCCATCATCCTGAGTAATCTCCTGCAGGCATGAACCAGATCATGTCTCCCCCCTGGCTTTCCAGTGCACTTGGAAGGAAATCAAAACCCCCGCTGAAACCCATACAGCTCTGTGATCTAGTTCCCACATACCTCTCTTTGTCATCTCACACTACTCCTCTTCCTAGACATCAACCCCAGGCACACCGGCCTCCTGCTGTTCCCTGAACTTGTCCACTTCTGTTTTACTTCAAAGTCTTTGTTAATATTCGTGACAAAATTAACCAGATACTAATAACAAGCATTACTGTAAGTACAGCTGTCCCACAGTGTGCAGAGTCCACATCGATTCTAGGTCCCCTGAAGGATATCAAACTGTTCAGATGCTCAAGTACATATATCACATATACATCCTATGCACATCCTGCCATATATTTTAATCACCTCAGGTTACTTATAATACTTAATATAAAAACTATGAAACTAGGTATTACACTAAACTCCTTGGCAAGGAAAAAAATGTATAGTTACTATAGATACAATGTTTTTCTCTTCAACCATTTTGATTTGTGGTTGACTAAATTCATGAATTTAAATCCTTAGATACAGAGGCCCAAATGTATTTCATGTTAACTCATTTCAGCCCTACAATTACTCTATGATTGAGGTACCATTATTATCACCATTAACAAAGAATCTGAAGTTTAATAGGTCAAGAAGCTAATTCAAGGAAGTAGAATGATCTACAGAGCTTCGTTCAATAGATTAAAACACAAACCATAGTGTGCCCATGCAATGGAATTCAACACAGCATATAAAAGAACACACGCGCTACCATGGATGACTCTCAAAGTCATCGTCTGCACTAAAAGACATCAGTCTTGGAAGACAAACTAGTGTTTAATTACGTTTACCTGACTGCTGGGAAAGATGAAAGTAGAGGGACAAAGAACAGATCACAGTGGTAGCTGCCAGAGGTTGGAGATGAGGGGAGGGTTTGACCACAGAGCTGCAGCACATAAAGGAAATTTGAGGGCTAATAAATTTATATTCTATTTTGATTACAGTAGTAGTTACATGAATCTGTGTATGTGTTAAAATTCAAAAAACTGTGAGTATGTAAACTTCAGAGAAATTCAGTAATAATTTAATTTTTTAAAATATGCATCAAATTCATACTTTTAAATGTTTTCTCTACAACAATCAACATACCAGAAAGACATTTACTACTACCTTTTATCCTTGTGTTGTCCTAAGGCTACTAGCGGATATATAGCAGCACAAAAGAAGGAGCAAAACATATGCAGATTATAAGAGGAAAATCAAGGTATTATTCACTATGTATACTTAAGGAAACCTAAAAGATTCAACAGATAATATATCAGAATATGTGAGTTTAGCGGAATTGCTAGATATGAGCAGAAATATACAAAAAACTTTGAACCAGCAAAATTTTATGGCTTTCTTTCTTTCTTTTCTTTTTTTTCTTGCTACTGGAATCGAACTCAGGACCATGGGCTCACCAGGCAAGCACTGTACCCAACCTGAACCAGGAAAATTTTAAAAAGAAAAAATCTCCCCAACTTGAACCAGGAAAATTTTAAAAAGAAAAAATATTTAAAGAATTCTTGAAAATACAAAGTACTGTACTTAGGAAACATATTTAAAGGTCATGTATGAGGAAACAGTAACACTATTAAAATGTTTTACCAAGAAAGATAGAAAGGGGCTGGGGATACAGCTCAGTGGCATAAGCGTCTGCCTGGCAAGTGCAAGGTCGTGAGTTCGATCCCTGGTACCACAAAAAAAAAAGGAAAGCTACAGAAAGACAGTAAGCAAGCCACAGTTTTTGCTACTTATAAGACTCATCAATGTAAGGTGCTGACAAGCCCAAATTGATCTATAATTCAACAAAATCCTTCAAAAATTCTTGAGGGTTTCAATCTAAGAACTGATTCTAATATGAAAGAACAGAGGCACAAAATGCCAAAAAAAGATCCAAGAAACTTTTTAAAATGTAAATTAAGATTATTTAATTTACCACCTAGTGAGAAATATTTTTAGTTATTACAGTGTAACTAAGGTGGTATGGTATTGACATGGAGATATGAAATAAGAATAAAATAGAAACATACCATGGATTTATGACCATTTCATGTCAGGCAGAAGTAGCACTAAAGGTCTTGCTTACACAAAGATAGGTCTTTTCAATATTCAGTACAAATATCCAAAATGGATATTCCTACGAAAATATGTGAAACTGGATCCCAATTTTATACCATATAACAGTCTAGCCCAAGTCTATTAAGAACTACATATAGAAAGGAAAACTGTGACTATCTTACATGACAATATAGCATAATATTTTTATAACCTTGGAATAGGACAGGATTTCCAAAGACATGAAAAATCCTATATATAAAGAGGGGAGGTGGTAAGTTTGACTATATAAAAATCAGTAACTTTTTTCTCAAAATATACCATAGAAAAAATATCACATTGAGTAGGAGAGTGTACTTGAAACAAATATAATCAAATGATACCTAATTTAAGGATTTAAATCCCGCAAAACTACTGAAAATGGAATCCATGAAAAAATAGGCCAAAAAACTCATAGGCGCTTAAAACTGCAATTGAAATACTATGTAAATATTTGTGCCATTGTATTGTTTTGGGCATAATATCGAGAAAAATGTATGTATAAGCGCAGTAGAGATCCAACTTTTTAAGGATTTGTAATTTAAGCTTGGTCTGCGGATGTAAACCTGCAGATATGCAGGTCACCTGTGTTTGAAGTCTGACAAAACTCAGTGTGGGAGAATATACTGGACAGTGAGAACTCCTGTACCTTTACCACAGGAGTGGAGAGTGGTACAGTCACTGTGGAAAAGTTTGGCATTTTCTAATAAAGTTGAAGGCGCTCACATGTTCCTACTCAGCAATCTTAACCGATACAGCTTGGACCTTGGGTTTCCCCAAAGGCCTGCCTGTAAAGGTTTCATACCCAAACTGCTAGTACTGGGAGGTGGCGGAAGCTTTGGTGGGGGTTGTTGATGGGAAGTCTCAGGTCACTGTGCGGTGGTGGGTCGTCAAAGAGGGCTGTGGGAATCAGGCTCTTCCTATTTTCATGGCCCAGCCACACACTCTTGCCATAGTGTGCTGTGCTGCCCCAGGCCCAAGACAGTGGGGCCAGTCAAGCCTGGGGAGAAACCTCAAAAAATGTTGTATCCTAAACCCTGTTATGATAAATATCTAAACCCAAATCAATTTCATACTTCTACAAAGTGGCCAAAAGGAAGGCAATTAAACCAACCTTCTTACAAAACCAGTGCCCCTCGGGAATATCTACCTTCTGAACAGAAATCACGCAGACTGTATTTTGGGAAATTATTCATTTTGTGCAAATTGAACCTACAAGGACGTGACATACATAGTTATGACTAATTCATTAACAAATTGACTAAGGAGATCATTGTAAAGTCAACGTTCAGCAAAGCATGATTCAGCTCCTCCTTAAACAAATATTTTTGCCAACAGTACCAACATTACGGGTGGCACGAAACCACACCCTCATCCCGAGAATGATAAAACAGAATCTCTAGGAGGCAGGTAGAAGGAAAAAGATAATGTCTTTGCTAATGGAACATTCATTCTGAGGGCTCACAAAACAATGTAGCACGATATGAAGGTTACAGAATAATGCTACAGAATATAAAGGTTAAATTGGCAGCTTCCAAATGCCTCCTGTTAGTGGCCGTCCTCTTCCCCCTACTTTGTTAGGATTGCAAATGCCTTAAATAAAAAGCAAGA